AGAAAATTTTTCGAGGTGGAATGAGTAGGCTCAAAAAAGAAAAGTTAGGCTAATGTGTAGTTGAATAGATAGCCATGCCACTAACCGTTGTCCAAAAAAACGGTTGCCATAATACTGCACTGCGACTGTCAATAATCGTAACTTTATTATGGAATATTGAAGTTTTTCATTGCTTGTCACAGTATTTGTCCCAGAGTTATACTTTCCAGCATACTTCAGCAAGCTATTGATATCCGCATTCCTCTCTGGTTTCAAGTACGACTTCGGATAATAAAATCAGCAAAAGCGGACGTTCATAACTTTAACTAATACCCCAAAATTTCTCGGAATTTGATCTACTAGTAGGTCGTTTTCCTGAGAACTTTTGAGAGCTCTCGGAAGTCAGAAATCCTGTATGGTTTCTTACAAGTAAAACGATCGAACAGAACAGGGTTTTTTGAATTATTGTCAGGCCCCTCCCCCGCAGTTTCACTGATCCTTTTCAAATAGAACTCCAGCAAAAAGAATTGCACAAAGGGGACTAGATGCACGTCTAGGAGAAAACTTAATTTCGCGATTTAGAGTTTCGTCACGAACTTTTAGCACTTCCAGGAGCAATGCGAAATCACGTTATCAGCAAAATGTAGTTTCAAGGGCACGTAATCTAGTTCTCAGTCTAAACTGCTACCAGCGGTGCCACAAGTAATATCACCGCATCGGGTCGCAATCAGCGGTCCTTACCTGCGGCTTTTCCATCATTGGTTGTTTCCTTCCTAAATCGATCTCTACCTGATCGCCATTGGTAGAGCAAGGGAGCCGAACCCGGACTCGAACCGCGCTGCTCATGCCACCCCCGACAGTCAGCAATGATGAGGGATGTATACAGGGGGGGGGGCAAAAAAAGTCACTTTTCTATATTGAATTTCGAGGCGCTATAAGTTACACTTTATCGAATTCAGATCGGACAATTTTACCACCATATTAAAGGGCATATCAAATACTATCATGACACTCCGCCACAGCTTTCTTGACGAGCGCCATCGAGAGATTCTATTAGGTTGTTCGAAAAATCCTGCGACACTTTGACCAAATTTTTCGAACTAAATTTCCGGTCAGTTAAGGGCATCTCCAATCTACAAGGTAACCGCAGTTGATGACTAGGACTAGTGCCTTTCTTTTGCACAGCTTCTCATTTCCATTCTCATAGAATTACGGCAACTATGATAAAAAGAATAGGTGGACCTCACTCTCGAGTTGAGGTCGATTTTCGGAATTTTCGCGTTTCAAGGATGCGATAGTAACCAAAGGAGGTGGTAATTGAAGGCTGCTAACTTTGTTAAATAACCTGAGTACGGTCGCATTCTCTGAAATATCTTCTCCGAAATGCATGATCTTTTGGCGTAGCCTGATCCCCACAATGGTCCTCGCATTACCGAGTAGTAGAGAAAAATTGAGTATTTCTGAATGAATCCAAGCGTGACGTCATTTATATTTTAAAGTCGATTAAGGTGGACTGTGTCCTTACAATGGTGCTGGTATCCAGTGATATCGCTTTGAAGTCCCACCAATAACACACTGAAATCTTTATCCCATGCACATCTGCTTTTGGCTTATCAATCTACTTTACTGTTTGAGAGATCCTGCGAGGGACATGTGCATGATGTACGTAAGGACTCCAACACTCGCTACCAACCACAAGATCTCCCGAAAGTTCTTTCGCTATGTACAAGGAAAAGAAAACTCAGTCGCGGTCATTCGGTATGACTTGTCAGACGGGTCCAACTCATGAGGCATCCTCACAAAAAATTTTTCTAACCGAGATTGCGGAGAAGCATGGCAGTTGTCAGTCAGGTGGAGCCTAGAGAGGTCGCCAACTTACCGGTGGTTAAGATCGGCTGCGCCTCAAGAAGCTTGAGTGAAGGGCCGTCACTCTGTGCTGATGGGCGACCTATACATTGCCTAACTACGAATTAAATAAGTCCAGCCTAGAGGCGCTGATGCAAAAGCTACCCTCTGCCATGGCCAGCGATATCCTTCCTCAAGACAACGTAGGTGTCAGCTTCTTCGACTACGGCGGGGTGGCCCTAGAGGAACTCATAATATGGGACAGGTCGAGAAGTACCTCGACCTCTGAGGAACTTTTAAGCCTTGGAACCTTCCTCAAAGTCATGATATACCCATGTGCAGAAACCCCAGAGGACAATCTCCACTAATCAGGGATAAAAACATCCAAAATGATTTTTGGTCCTTTTCTAGAACAATTTAACTAAAGTATCGCAGGATTTTTCGAACAACCTAATAGCACGCGACCGCGATGTGGTGCCTGAGATCAGCGAGATAGTCGATTGCTCCGCCGCCGTAGACCACCTATCGAATTCCGCCCGAATCGCGTAATTGAGGGGATTCAGGTGGGGTGACCTAGTTGGATATTCCATCTTCTTTTGGTACTCAGACCCCTTCCATTCCAAGTAGGCGAGTGTTTCTCCAACGCCCTTCGCATGTGGTGGCACTCAATGCTGTAGCAGTACAAAGTTTCCAAGAAGGTACGGGCGATCACATGTGAAGAGGATATTCTTTACGAGTTGCCCAATGTAACCGCCGGCGCACATCTTCATCCGGGATCCAAGAAGCAAATATTGGTCTTTCCATTTCAGGTACGTCCGGTCCATACCATCAGCGCCTTGGCGACTGCTGTGAAAATGATGTCCTAAACCGTGGCGACGTCGTCGGAGCTGCTCGATGCTGGAGGTCATCCAGATTAGTACTGGTCTCCAAGTAGCTATCCATGGGTGACTCCATACTAGAAGTTTCGCAGCTGTGTGGAGGTGACATGAATTCCAAAGGTGTTCTCCAGTCAGGCTGCGACTGGAATGACTTCATATTTTAGTGTACATGAAGGTGATGGGCGAGAGCCAGCCCCTGCTTATAGAGGAACATTTTGGATATCTCTTGCCCTGGTACTCGTATCCACGTCCTCTGTCTGGGCAGAGAAAGTTTGCTGATATGCGACTCGGTCGAAGTGACTTTTTTGGCCCCCTCTCTATAGTGGGAGAAACGGCTAAAAGAATTCAAGTGAGATGGTCAAAAAATTGCGAAGAGAAGCATATTTCCTGACCAACCCACAATGCATTTTTGGACGAGTTTCTCGTTGGCGTCGTGCCGACTGCGGTGGATACGGCTGCACCCCTGTATCCATGCAGCCGCAGTGCCTCATATCAATTCCTTAATATTGTACCTCACACATGGAACGATACGAGCATTAGCATCGGGCGGGTAGGGCGTTCGGGTCGGCAAGCTGCGGCTCGATAGGGCGCCATAAGGATACCTCCCATGGGAAAGGCGCCACGCAGCGCCTGCACAGAAGCGCCAAATTCTGGCATGCTAGGCCTATTTACCCAGCATGAATTGACAATTTATCGTACCACTTGCCTTTAAGAGCTGAAGAAGGCAAAGACAACATCCTTTCCGATCCGCGAAATGCCATTGAGCTAAAAGGATCGGAACGGTCCCGACGGCGTAATGAATAGCGCACTCGCTCGGTCGGTTGAAGGCACGGGTCAGAATCCTGTCTGTACTCTGACTTCTGTCCTAAACTCAGCACTCCTGTGGTCCTTCTCGGACGCATGAACTGGGCTGGCTCATAAGTAATGGAACTGTCATATCACTAAAAATTTCGTGCGAAGACAAAAAGTTTTGATTGGATTTGGTACTGCTTTCAGAGAAATCCACGCCTTGCAAGAAGGTCCTCTTAGCTTCTCTAAAGATTCTGTTTCCACAACTTTTAGGTGCTCAAGCTGGAGTGTCAGGTCGACGAATGAGAATTTTCCAGTCTTCCTTTGTTACATCTAACATCTAACTAAAAAGGTGAAAGCGAAAAGGACTGTTTGTTGAGTATTTGACCAACAAGCATGTTTCTTGGAAATGTTTATAACTCTTGAAACGATTTAACGATTTCAATTTCGTCCTCTCAGACCGGATCGGACCTAATGCCCTATTGATTCCAACCGAGAGCCTACTGAACACTTTATTACGGAGATTCATGCCAAAGAATAGAGGAACGATAGATGTCTTGGGAAGCTTCTATGTTACCATGCAGCATCACCTTCACTTGACCGAAGAGCTTCAAAACTTGGGGATGACTTCTGCTGGCAGTCGTTTCCCAAGAGGGCGCTCCATGCGATGTTCCTTTTTATGGTAAGAATTCCTACTATGAGTAGCGTGAACTGGTTTCAAGCCGTACTAGAAAGCACCAGTCCTTGTTCATTTGCCTCACATCCTTTGAACTTTTTCAGCAACTTGAAAGCCAAGCTCAAGGGCAAAAAGTTATTGTCGGAGAATCACATTTGTGTCGACCCGTCTCTCCTCTTCAATGGAACAAAAATCGACGAAAGAAAATTATCTGTCAATAACGTGGAAACATAAACCGATCCTCACTTTTCACATGACCACATGTGCAAGAAAAAATTGTCAGTCTCACGGGGCAACCCAACAAGACAGCCAGTGAGTGAGTGGAGTTGCGCCCGAGAATGGAAGGTAATTGATGACAGCACGATATCTTAAGTTTATAACCCGCTGGGTGCACTTCATGTCCAGAAAATAGGATGGACGTAACTGCACGCTTCATTCGAGCATAGAACGCGTTTTTCGCCGAAGGACTCCTTCTGAGACAGCTGTCATCCACGCAGACATGACTATAACTGTACCAGATCGGCAATATCCCACGAAAAGCGCAGCCGCCGTTGCATTTGCATGGATTACTCAGCCACGCCCTTCTTTGTGAATTTGCGACATGTTGTACGACTCTCCCGTTAATTAACAATTATTAAATATTCCACGCTATTTGGTACCGAGTGGGGAACGATAAAAAGTGGACGGGAAATGAGCACTAGCTGACGTGATTAACTGTTTTCGACATTTTAATAATACAGGAAGATTGATCGGATATCCTGGATGTGGAAGTGGGAGGTAGGGATGGAACCACTACTTAAGCAAAGAGTGGAATACCAGTCGGCACTCCGGCAATGCGTTTCCTGTCTCGTGTATCTCTTGCACTGCTGGTCAGTTTTATGTCTCGCTTGATTCCCGAACATTTCTGACATTTTCACACCTATTTCAGCTAGCCACAGCAACATTAGCACAAGACGAAGAAGATTACGACTATAGCGATTACAGTGGTAATACTGACCTAGGCGGTGGCAATGGAAATGGAAACAACCAAGGAGGCCAAGTGCAAGCTCCAGCAACACCCGCACCAGTGGTGGAAAAAACACCCGCACCAGTGGTGGAAAAAACACCCGCACCAGTGGTGGAAAAAACACCCGCACCAGTGGTGGTAACAACACCCGCACCAGTGGTGGTAACAACAACTGTGAATCCAAGTGAGCCACAATCAATAAAACCAAAACCATATGGTTGTAGTGCCTACGTCGCCGTCCGGATCTCCAAAACCTCCTCAAAAATAATGTGTTTATGCTTTTGCTCGTTCTCAGGAAAAAGGTCTCGCAACGCTCTACATTGTTTTTAGATAACATGAGATGCCCACAAAACAGCGGTGTGAATGATCGGATAAGAAATGCTGCGCTTGAAGGTCACAACTATAGAAGGTTGTTCATATTTTCCATCTGGTTAATAAGCCACTTCCGTTGTAACCTATAGTAATGAGACGATTAAGGTCGAGACTTGCCCAAGGATTGGTCAAGAATAAGAACGACAAACTCCTCCCACCAGCGACAAATATGCTCAAATTGGTAAGTTTTGAACTGCCAAAAGGCTGATAGGAGCTGCAGCTAGATACACCTGTCTCGGAGAACAATAATGAATCGCTGAAGATGTGGCTGTTTTCGCATGTGGAAAGCTACCTACAGAACTCTCGGAAGATCATGCATGTCAAATGCGCAAGCATTGATACGCAAGTATACTGAAGCTTTCGCGGTCATAGAATTCCTAACCTTCCGGAACACCCTTGACACTGGTCTGCGCTGCCGATGGGCAAGTCCCTATTGCGCGGACCGGTCCATGATTTGATACCGACGTTCCATACTCTAGGATTCTGTGGGACCTAGATGAGCTTCAATGGGTGGAAGAACTCGCACTAGTTTGCAATTTTTTCTGAGCAGATTTGTGTAGCGAGCGCACAGTTTTTCGTTTTAGGAATATGAGTGCACACTGGAAACTTCGGCCAAAAAAGCTGCGGATAGATGCTCCACAAGTCCGTCGTCAGGCCTTTCATCTGGTGTACAGGAAAACATCTATAGTCTTCCACAAGCCAGCGTTTCTTCTCGCGTTAATGCCATGATTGAGGTTCGTATTTATTGTGTCATATTGTTGCAATGCGTAAGTGAGCCATTCGTTCAGGCAATCAAGTATTGGTGGAGTCAGCTGAGAGTGGTCGGTACTGTAGGGACTGGAGTCACGTTCAGAAGTTCCCAGTCGGGTAGTCCAGTCAGCTATTTCACCAGGGTAAGGCTGCTCAGGAAAAACTAACATATTCTTGTGGAATTTGTTACAAATATTAGAGACTCGTTGATCCATACCGGATTCTCTTGAAACGTTCTTAATATGCTGTAACAAGACAAATATGAGCAACGGACTTCAGATGGCTTGGGCAACCACTGCAAAGTTTGGATGTGCTGTTACACAGAAAAACAAATGCCCCAATTCTTATTATATTGCGTGCCACTACCAGATTGGGTACTATTCCTCTTCTTCCTTCCTTTTTTTCCTATATGACATCTACAAAAAAGTATTTTCAGAGGTAATGTACCCGATGCTAAGATCTACATTCCGGGCAATGCATGCTCTCAGTGTCCCGGTGACTATCGCTGTGACTCAAACAAGCTGTGCAGTCGCTCTTAGACGATTATCTAATACTTCTAGCACAATCGATGCCTTCTCACGTTTCTTCATTTAGTTTCGGGCAATAAAAAAGACACTTCGCTTTCGGAAAGGATCATCAAAGTTCACTTCGCATAGCCCTGCAAACTACAAAAAAGACGCATGTGTGATATTCTAAGCTATGTCTATACAAGCACAAGCTAGCACTTTACCTGAGCCTCCACGCTCACGACAATTTGAAGCCATCGTCGTCCAGACTTCCTACAACCGCGTTAGCCTGAAGCTCCTATGTAGTTTCCACGGCTGTGACCTGCATGGTTCTCAGAGAGTGTCGCTATGATTGTGGAAGAGATCAAGTCTTCGGCTTCTATGACAACTCCGCTATGGTCCATGATTTAACAGCCAACACATTGAGGTCAGGCCACGTCATCGCGTTGTGATAAATATCTGCTAAATACCGCCCCCCCCCCTGCCCGCTGCTAATCTGGAAGCAGCGGCAGTGAGCCAGATTAGCAGCGGACAAGCAAACTCCGAAAAAATGCTGCGAAAATAAATGACAAAAAACGACGCGAGCTTAATGAAGGGTGAGTGTGAGGAATGGGAAGAAAGTGAGCCATGGTGGATCACCAATAAATAAGCAAAAATAATGAACCATCAATGAATTACAATAAAGGATAAGGTCTTCGCCGTTGATCAATCCCTTTATGGGATGCGGCACGCACTCTACTTCCATTCAGAATGGCAGTCGCTTATTGAATGCGATGTGGCCTATACAATGACTTGTGGGGGCCAGCCGATGTACAATTCAGTGTTCTTGGCTTCCCGGACGAATCTGGTACCAATTTACTGCCCACTAAGGGTAGAAGGCTTAGTTGGCCTGGGCGAGAGTCGACCCGGGATTTAAACCTGGCGCCGGGCGAGCGGTAAGTGCGCCACTTGTCACTACACCACCTCCGCGCCAAGGAGTTACTGTAAGACATAAAAATAAAGAAAAAAACGGGAAATCCAAAAATACTGAATGTTAATCGTTTGGGGCCATCGAAAGTTGAGAGTTGAGTTAGAGCACGCTTTGTGCCGTGGCAATAGATCGAGCTATTTCACGTCCCGAACCCAGTTCCATGCCAAACACTTGGGAAGTACCCTTCGGTGAAGAAAGCAGGACTGTGGAGCACTAGGTTTGCATTTATCATATCAAGCGGTTTTGAAAATCCTTTTTCCAAGAAACTTCCTCCGTGTGGTCCGTCGTGACATTGGGGGTAACTTACAACTTCTTACGCTTGAAACAGCCATAACAATCGCCATTCAAAGCCATTTGCTGAACAAAAAGCAGTGACGGAATTTCGGAGGCTTTTGCTTACCAGCAAGACTTTCATTTTATCCCTAGACCTGCTAATAGAAAAATCGCCGTCGCGATGTAGACGCGACCCATTTCAGCCGACATGAAAAATCCACCCCTCCAACGCTGTACTACTTCCAGTTTGTTAAAGACTTTGCTTCCGAAACATATGTTTTTGCCAAGGGTATCTGCTCCAGATAGGGCTTCCTCCGTGCAAGCAATTATGCTTCTGCAATCAGGAAGGTCTTAAAGTGTACTTTCATGTGCTTTTTATTTCGTGACATCGTTAAGGGCGGCTAGCATATTTTCTGTCACCGCCCATTCCTCTTCTGGCAGGTTGCTTCCGTCTTGTGTGTTGTCTTTTCTGGTGTTCTTCGTATGAATAAATCTTTCATCACTGAAGCTGAACGACATCTGAGTATCCAAGCACTCCCCACTTCAGAAAGCGCTCTGCGCTTACGACGTCCCCCCCTATCTCAAGATCAAATACGACCCCCCTGTTGTGATTATCACAAGATAGAGTGCCCTGTTGGAGGTAAAAGCTTACTGTTAGCAGTGCTACAGCTTGGGCGGTTGATCCACGTCATCGCGGCTGAGACCAAGGTAACCCAACTCACCCTATCGATCGATTCCGTTAGGTGATTCACTACGATCTCGGAATTGTCCCAAGTTTTTGTATAGGCATTTCGGGGACATTCTCAATTGTTTTAGAATCTTACAAGGGAGGTCTTTCAAGTCGTGACGCGCTTTTTGGAAATAGTTCGCTGCTTGTTGTAGGGGGCCATACAAGGATCACAACAATGGGGTTCATTTTTGCTATGCATTTTTGAGGAGGTCAACAACTGAGTCAAAGAAATTTGAAAAGAATGAGCGATTTTAACTATCTTAATGGGCTCCGTTCTTATCGTAACTTTTCTTATCGTAACTTTTTTCCTAAGCTTTCTATTAATTCGCGTTCCTGTGTGTCTAGCAGTAGAATTAAGCCAAGTTTATGCCATTTGAAAGCATGTTCTTCATTCTGATACTTTATAAACCAGCTCTGTTATGTAAAGAACCCGGTTTCCGGGAATGAACAGAAGTCTGAGAAATGTAAAACATTTGCCGCAAGGACGATCCAATCCACCAAGTCGCGTGTAGTCGTCCCATCCAGAATCCAACGAGTTACTCTCCATCCGATCCGCCGACAGTTAGCATGAGGTGACCGCTGACAAAAACATCACTGTTGCGTCGGTGCCTGGTGCCAAGTGTGTTACTACATGACACTACATTTTGACTTTATTTTAAACTACTCTCGAAGCCTAATTAAAGAGTACCTCATGAAACGAGTACCTCATGAGTACTTGTGCATGCTCTAAGTTACAATCAGAACGGAGCCCATTAAGACAGTTAAAATCGCCCATTCTTGTCAAATTCCTTTCACTCAGTTTTGACCTCCCCAGTAAGGCATAGCATGAAAGAAACCTATTCTTGTGATCCTTGCATGGACCCTACAACAAGAACAAACCATTTCCAAAAAGCGCGCCACGACCTGAAAGACCTCCCTTGTTAGGCCCTGACGACGGCCAGGAGGCCGAAACGTTGGCTAATCAATTATAATCTTGGACGGTTCAACCTGTCCACTCTCTTCTTTGATTTTCCAGCGCAGCAGCTGGACACACTCAAATATTTTGTGATCCCATTCAAAAGCGTGGCGACAGGTAGAGGAATGGCTGGAAAGCAAAGGGGCTACGGCTACGACCTGCTACATCGTCTGAGCTGAAACCTTTAGCTCAGACGCTACATATTAGCTAGCTTTAGCTTCATATTTATGAGGTTTGCTGAGCCGCAGAAGCAAATCTCGAGAAAATGAAAAGAAACCCGAATGGTCAAAATCAGCACCATATTGTGGAATCGCGCGTCATGAAAGAAAAGTGCGCAAGGAAATTCATCGTGTGATGGGCCAACAGTGAACTATATTAGTTCTTTCAAAATAGGCTGTGGAAGAATTGCTTCACAATCCAAAGAAAGAAGAGTGAAGAAAAACTGTGGCCGGTGAGGGCCCCGTAATTCCTATCCTGCACCTGGAAAGCGAGTGGATGAAATTAAGCGCTCATCACAGACGCCGGACCGTTGCCGAGCTTGTCCGCGAGACCGACATCCCTGTTGCGACCACTGCCTGAGTTATGTTCGAAAAATCGAAGATGCTTAAAAGGATGTGTGTTCGGGTACCTCATTTTCTTGCTCCATCGCCCAAGACAGTAAAAATAGTACAGTAACCGTTCACGACAGTAAAAACGTGCCCCGGCCCTAGGTGAGATAATGGTGATTTTGAACTCAGAGCCAAAACTCACAAGCGTCAATCTTCTATGAATGCAGATGAGAGCAGCCCGAGCTCTGTCACCAGGAGCTACGGGGACCCAGGCGGATAATCGTCATGGCACTAGATTGCTGCACAGTGACTTTCAAGCGGTTTTATACAGAGAACAGACATCCCTGTTGACGTCCTGTTAGTGCATATTGCCTGTTCTTCGACAATCAGACCAAAGATGGAAGCCACCACTTAACTATAAAAAGGGCACCATTCGAAGTTATTGTCCGGCAAACGCCACGATTCTTTGTCATTCGCCGGGAATGGCACCAAGAGCAACTCGCTCTTGTTGAAAAACAAGCAGTGGTCCAAACGCTTTCGGGCTTTGAGATCGGGCCATTTGGAAAAATGGATCTATTTACTTTCAAGCCAAATATTAATTTACTTCTGTTTCTCTTCGTTTTAGCTACCTAATACTTATTGATGCATTTACCATTTCCGCTCGGGTTTCAAGGCTGGATATTCTGACGATAATTAGTTTCCAGTTTCCAGTATTAGTATCATTCAGACATGTAACCTCATTTGAAAATGTAAGGTTGAAGTAAAGCTGAAAGCGGGACTGATTCCGAGATTGCAGACCAGGCAAGAAAGAGATAATTGGAAATGAATAGAAAATGGAATTCTGGAAGATATATTTTGAAGGTGTGTTGCATCCATCGGGTGTGAACAGATTATCCGCCACTAAAACACAAAAGTGCACCTTTTTGAGCAGCCAAACATTCCCAAATCCATACAATCGGGAGATGAATACCGCATTTGGGTTAGTGAGGAGCTAGTTCATCGCTTTTAAATGGTACAAAAGTAATCACGAATGGCTTCTATTTTGTTGCTGGTTAGGTTATTCAAAAAGCCTCTTCCGTCTTTTGGCTGGCCTACTTCTCTTACTGTGTAACCATTCGGCTTACAAGATAATACCTTGCGCCACTCGTCGAATTCAGCCAGGTTTTGATGAGACATCCTCCCTCGAGGTAGGTCTGGTCAGAACCCTGCTCTAGGAGATCGTTTGACTCCGTGAACTTGTACCGGTAACGCTTCCACCCGCGTACACAGTGGAAGTCCATAAGGGTCAAAATAGAGTAAGAGAGTAAGAGTAGAACTAGTAAAACCTAAAACCAGTGAAGAGTAAGAGCAAAACTCACAAGAATCAGAAGCAAGCCACTTCCGGCTATCTATTAGGTTTGTGCAAAGGGAATGCAGGCTTCCTACCTGAAATCTTAATTAATATAATTCAGCTTTGACAAAATAGTGTGTTCAATAAAAAACCTTCATCAAAATCAACGAATTTTTGGTCACTAGAAATGTTCTTGACACTACCAGAAAAGTCTGAGGTTATGAAAGGGATGAAATCACCGATGGCAGTTTTCACATCATCTCGGTTGTGAAGCGTTTCCCCCGAAGAAGTTGCCAAGGCGCTTGGAAAAGTGAAAGTCAGTAGGCGAAAGGGCTGGCGGATGATCCACAGCTTCGTAATTCGATTTATGCCGTGCAATCACAGAGACATGAGGTCTAGCTTTGTCATAATGTAGTTTCTGTACTAGGGCCGAGCATAGGCTTCACAGTTTCTGGTGCATTTCGTCGACCTGCTGACGTACTTTGCTGCTGTGATCGTTTCACACGGGTTCAGAAAGATGTACTCGGATCATACTCGCTGTAGACCACGAACCGTTTTCTTTTAGTGGTTTTTCGGCTTTGGGTGATGTCGTAGAGTTTCGTTTAGCTCCGGCCACTGGGCATATCCTCTCTCATCATAAAGTATTCATTTCTCATCGCAGCTCACCACCCATTTACGAAAGGGATTGTTGGCAATGCCCAAAGATGGGCCAAGGACATCTCGAAACGACGATTTCTGTCCACTTATGTGAAACCCGCTCGTCAAAAGCAACTCGAAAAAGCATAGAATACGATACCCACCGATGTACTGTGGAAAAAGGCTCGAAAAAAGCTTGAGACGAGCCCCGCGTCACGCGCGTTTTTAATACTTTCCCTAAAGTGTTTGAAAGGCCGTGAGAAAGTTATTTCTCGAATGAATCCTCTAGAAAAGTTGTTCTAAAGATAGAGTTAGTGGATTAAACTTGCTCTTAGAACGGAATTTCAAAGAATATTGCAATAGGAAACGCCGCTGCATCGATAATGGACCCTTTTCCTGAGTTTCTGAAGCGTCGGGAAGAACACAGGGCTCTTAGGAGTGAAAAAAGTAGAGCAATAAGGAGGCGAGTACCCAGACGTTTTCGATCCTCTTTCGGAGAGCCAGGTGGGACTATCCCATTATAGCCGAGTATTTCGCCGCGTACGCAAAGGAAATTCCTAAGGGCCGGCAGAGCGGAACGAAGCACTGGTGCATCAAAAAACTCGAAGAACAAAGTTTCCATCTGCGACTGCAAATCACCTCCCAGGTTGCACGCATACCACTTCCATTTAGAGCTGTAATGGCTCTTAAATGTGAGTGGCCTCCAGTGAGTTGCGAGGGGGGGGGCAACGTAGAAGACGGTGTGTTCATACTCTCCGATAAGTCTAGTACAGATCAGTTTCTTCCGGAGGTATAAAGACTTGGTTGGTTTGCGCGAGAAACGATCCGGGATCTGATCCCCGAACCGTGCACTGCCGCTACGCTACCTCCGCTCTAGCAGAAAATCGATATTATTGGTTGACATATTATAATCTTGAATACTGCCTCCAATATTTTTGTTTACAAAGTAGGTTTCAATCGCCTCGTCCGCCCAACATAAAGCCGTTCGATTTCAGCTGCTCTAGTCAGCCGGAGGTACTCTCCGACGGCAAGCGCAACAATGTTTTGTCTCGCCGGAATTGGCATCACCGGCAATTCACTCGCTTCTGTTGAAAAAACGACGGTACCAGAGTTCTGAGCGCTTTCGGGGAGGTGGGAGATTTTCATCGGTGAAGGAGGGATCTAATTAACTCAAAACCAAAATATTACTTTTCTATCTTATTTCCTCTTAGTTTTATATGAATAAAATCATCCGCACTTTTGAATGGGATGACTTAATAAAATCAGCAAAAGCGAACGTCAAAAGAGCAGCCTCAGTTAGGGAACGTTCATCACTTCAACTAAAGTACGGAATTTCTCGTAATTTGACCCACCGGGTCGTTTTCTAAGAATTTTTGAAGGAGAGGAGCTCTCAAAACTTAGGAGCTCTGTATATGTTTCTTCCAAGTAAAACGATCAAGCAAGAAAACGAATTTTAGAATTCTTGTCGGCCCTCTCGGCAGTTTCATTACACCTTTTCAAAGGGGATTACAGAAAAAAAACCTGCATATAGGAGCTAGATGTGCGTATTGGAGAAAACCTGAATTTCGCGATTCGGAATTTCCTCGAGAACTTTTAGCACTTTAAGGAAGCAAAATCACGTTCACAGAAAAAATAGTGTCAATGGCACAAGGCACGACATTTCGGTACTCGGTCTAAAATGGTAGCAGGGGTGCTATATAGTGGCGAAAACGGCGAAAAAGGGAAATTAAATGGTCAAAAGACTTGCAAAGAAAAGCCGCACTTATCTAAACAACTCAGTTTCTGGTTGGCTTCGTGCCAATAACCGCTACGGTAGATACGGCTGCTTAGCCATGCAGTCGCAGTAGCTTATCAATCCCTTCTCATCTCATTCTATTGTCCTCACACATGGAACGATGAGAGCATTAGCATCGTTCCACGTCCACGATCCAGGGTCCATGGTCGGACACTTCTGAGCGGGCCGGGTAAGCGTCCGGGTGGTAAGCTGCTGCTCGGTAGGGCGCTATTGGGGTCTTCCATGGGAAGGCCCCAGGCAGCGCCTGTCCAGGAGTGCCGTATTCTGGCATGCACAACACTCTTCTTCTATCAACGAAATGCCAATGAGCTAAAAGCGTGGAGCGGCCCGGTGGCGTAATGAATAGCGCTCTTCCCGGGTCGGTCGGAGGCACAGGTTATAGTTCTGTCTGTGGCTGACTTCTGTCCTTAAATCAGTAGTCCTGTCTTCTCGAACGCCTGCACTGGGTTGGCTCACAAGTAACGGTATTTTATCTCACCAGAAATTTCGCGCGGATACAAAAAGTTTCATCATAAGATTTCGCACTGCTTTCAGAGAATTCTCCGCCTTAAAAGAGGTTCTCACTGCTTTTTTAAAGATTCTAATTCCGCTAATTTTTGAGTGCTCAAACTGGAGTGTCAGGTAGACGAAATTTAAATTTTTTGACAGTCTCCCCTTTTTTACATCTAAATAAAAAGGTGAAACCGAACAGTTTGTTCAGTATGTGCCCAACAAGCTGAATAAGCTATGTTTCTTGTATATGTTTACAGTTCCTAGAACAATTTAATGTTCGCAATTTTGACCTATCAGACAAGGATCAGACCTGATTACCTGCTGAGTTCAACCGAGAGCCTATATCACCTTGTTCACGAAGATTCATGCCAAAGAATAGAGGACTGATAGATAACTTGGAAAGCTTCTATGTTCTCATTCAGCATCACCTTCACCATAGAGGAGAACTTTGGAACTTGGGGGATGGGTTCTTCTAGCAGTCATTCCCCAGGAGGGTGCTCCATGCGATGTTCTGTTTTTGTGGTCCGAATTCCCATCTATGAATAGCGTGATTGTTTCAAGAAGCTCTAGCAAGCAGCAGTCCTTGTTCATGTACCTCACATTTTCAAACTTTTTCTGCAACTTGAAAGACTAGATAAGTGCAAAAAGTATTGATAAAGAATCACATTTGTGTCCACTGCACATTCCACTGTCAATGACAAAAATCGACAAAAACTAAGAACAGTAAGAAGGCAACCATGCTGTATTGTAGGACGGAAACTATCTATCAATTCGTGCAACATATCGAAACCGATCCTAATTTTCATAAAAACTTGTTTAAGAAAAAATTGCCAGTACTTAGGAGCAACCCAACACAAGACAGCCAATGGGTGAATGAAGCTGCGCCGCAGGATGGCTTTATTTTGTAATCCGCTGGGTGCACTTCATGTCCAGAAAATGGGATGGACGTAACTGCACTGCATGCTAGAATGAGTTTTTTGTGGAAGAAATACTTCTCGGACAGCTGTCATCCTGCATTAAGTCCAATGCAGACATGACTATAATTGTCCCAGAACAGCAGTATCACCAAAAGTGCAGCCGCCATCACGTTCACATGCACTACTCAGCCACGCCCGCTGGTTGCACAAGAATAAAACTTCTTTGTGAATTTGCGACACTGTTGTACGACTCCTCCGTTAATTTACAATTATTAAATTTTTTACACGCTATTTGGTACGTAATGTAGGGGAACGATACAATGTGGATGGAAAATGAACACTAGCTGTCGTGATTACTCGTTTTTGAGATGTTAATAACAAAGAGAGGTAGATTGAATATCCTGAATATGAAACTGGGAGGTTGGGCTGGAACCACTACTTAAGCAAGGAGTGGAATACTAGTCAAGCAATCTCCGGCAATGTATTTCCTGTCTCGTGTATCTCTTGCACTGCTGGTCAGTTTTATGTCCCTCTTGATTCGCGAACTTTTTTGACATTTTCACTATTTCAGCTAGCCACAGCAACATTAGCACAAGACGAAGAAGATTACGACTATAGCGATTACAGTGGTAATACTGACCTAGGCGGTGGCAATGGAAATGGAAACAACCAAGGAGGCCAAGTGCAAGCTCCAGCAACACCCGCACCAGTGGTGGTGAAAACACCCGCACCAGTGATGGTGAAAACACCCGCACCAGTGGTGGTACCAACACCAGCACCAGTGGTGGTACCAACACCAGCACCAGTGGTGGTAACAACAACTGTGAATCCAAGTGAGCCACAATCAATAAAACCATAAGGTTGTACTGCCTACGTCGCCGTCCGGCCCTTCAAAGCCTTCCAAGAAAAATGCGTTTCTGCTTTTGCTTATCCTCAGAAAAAAATTTTTAAAAGCGCTCCATTTTTCCAGACAACATGAGGTGCCCACAAAATAGCGGCGTGAATGACCGGATAAGAAATGCTGCACTTGAAGGTCATAACTACAGAAGGTTGAGTTAAATTTTACTATGCTTCACATCTTCAACAGTTCATGTTTTCCATCTGGGGTTGTAATGAGGCGATTAAGGTCGAGACTTGCCCAAGGATTGGTCAAGAATAAGAAAGGCAAAATCCTCCCACAGGCCACAAATATGCTCAAATTGGTAAGTCTGTTTGAACTCCCAAAAGGCTGATAGTAGGTGCAGCTAGAAACACTCGTCTTTGAACACAACAGACAACAATCGCTAAACACGTGGTTGCTTTCGCATGTGGAAAGCTACCTACTGCCCAGTTTTTAGAGGACTTCTCCTTATAAGACTGGCGAAAAACAGTCTTCCCACATATGGATACAAAAGCGCGTCGGGATCTCACAAGCAAATTCTGAGCAGTCAAACTCGTGGGAGTTGCCATTCTTCTTCGCGGTTAAATAGCAAAGGCTGCCGGTTAGGAGACTTCCAAAAAAAATGCGATTGCCTGCTTAGGAAAACTCTCAGAAGATCATGCATGACACACGCAAAGCAATGATACGTAAGTATGCTGAAGCTTTCGCGGTCATAGAATTCCCCTTAACATTCGGTGGTCTGCGCTGCTGATGGGCCAGTAATGTATTTCAAGCACAGTAACTGTTCCCCGCTCGCACGGACACTTCGACCATTTGATACCGGCGTCCCATATTCTGGGATTCTGTGGGATCCATCTGAGCTTCAATGGGTGAAGGAATTCGCTCTAACTTTTTTCTGAGCAGGTCTGTGTAGTGTGCACATGGCTTCTCCTTCTAGGAATATGACTGCGCACTGGAAACCTCCGCTAAAAAAGCTGTGGATAGGTGCTCTACGAATCCGTCGTCAGGCCTTGCATCTGGTGTACAGGAAAACATCTACAGTCTTCCACAAGCCAGCGTTTCTTCTCGCGTTAATGCCATGATTGAGGTTCGTATTTATTGTGTCATAGTTGCAATACGTAAGTGAGCTATTGGTTCAGGCGATCAAGTATTGGTGGAGTCAGCTGAGAGTGGTCGGTACTGTTGGGACTGGAGTCACGTTCAGAAGTTCCCAGTCGGGTAGTCCTATCAGCTATTTCACCAGGGTGAGGCTGCTCAGGAAAAACTAACATATTTCTGTGGAATTTGTTACGAATATAGAGAGACGTAGTTTTATCCCAGATTCTCTTAAAACGGTTTCAATATACTGTAACAAGACAAATATGCAACCAACGTACTTCAGATGGCCTGGGCAACCACTGCAAAGTTTGGATGTGCTGTTACACAGAAAAACAAATGCCCCAATTCTTATTATATTGCGTGCCACTACCAGACTGGGTACTATTCTTCTTCTTCCTCAGTCCATCCTATCCGATATCTTAAATGAGTATTTTCAGAGGTAATGTACCCGATGCTAAGATCTACACTCCAGGCACTGCATGCTCTCAGTGCCCCGGTGGCTATCGCTGTAGCTCAGACAAGCTGTGCGCTCGCTCTTAGACGATTATCTAACACTTCAACTCAATAGATGTCTCTCATGTTTCTTTGTTTCGTTTCTAGACAATAAAAAAGACACTTCGTTCGATGGGATCATTGAAGTTAACTTCGCATAGGATTGCAAACTACAGAATAGACCCATATGGAATATTCTCACGATATTTCTATACAAGCGCTCCTCCACGCTCACCACAATGTGAAGCCATCGTCGCCCAGACTTCCTATAACCGCGTCAGCCTAACTCCTAGGTAGTTTCCACGGTTGCGAACCTGCATGCGGGTTCACAGGGAGTGTCTCATGATTGTGCAAGAGATCAACTCTCCGGTTTTTATGACAAGGCTGCTATGGTCCATGATTTAACAGCCAACATACTGAGATCATAACACGCCATTGTGAATGTGGATTTCTGCTAAATACGCTCCCTCCCCCGCCTACCTGCTGGCTGCTAATCTGAAAGCAGTGGACCAGATTAGCAGCGGACAAAAAACTCCGAAAAAAAACGGAAGATTTGCGCAAATGAACGACGAGAAAGGCGCAGAGTTAATCAAGGGTAAATGTGAGGAACACAAAGAAAGCCATGACAATCCTTTTATTTTATAAGCCAGTATTGTGTGCTATTTTGTATGTATGTGTGTATGTCCATCCGCAAATGCTTCTGTTGAGTTCCTCACATTTCCGGGTTTGAGTTAGCTGGAGGAGAAAACGACCGCTAGACAAACCGTGACCCGGACCCGGTGACCCCTCCCTATGCTTCCTTCCCTTGCACGTGCTCAGCCGCACCTGAGTATGTGCAAGCGAAAGAGGTAGAGGGGAGGAGGTACGTTGAGGGGAGGGGGTGTAGTACACGCTTGAGTAGGATAAGCAGGAAAAGAGGATACAATCGCTAGCAAAGCTGTAAGATACTCCTTACATTCTATAAAGCAGAAACTCTGTGTGTCGGTTTGTCGATATATAGGTATGTATGTATGTCGGTTTGTATGTCTGTCCGTCCGCAAAGTGCTTCACAGGATTAAACAGGTTAGTGAAAGGAGAAAACGACCGCAAGACAAACCGGGATTCGATCGGTGCAGATGTATCAATCCAATGTTTTGATTGTGATAACAGCATATATAAACAACCATTCAGTAAGCTGCGAGCCATTGCACGAGCTGCTCGGGTGACAGCTGGACGTGAGCTCGTGCGGGGGCAGGGTGGGGGTGCCAGGTCGCCCTGCCTCCTTCTCCTGCATGTGCTCAGCGGGAGCTGAGCACATGTATTGGAGGGAGGCAGAGGGAAGGGGTCGCAAGGAGGGGGGGGGGGTGTACAGTGAGGGGTGCGTAGCGCGCGTTTCAGTAGAAACGCACACCAATGGATGAGGAAACAACCGCCAATCTATGTTACCGTAGGGAACTAAGAAGTTGTTTTGGTTGTGATAACACTCTCCTCTATGTAAGAGAACCACTACACTCCGAGCCATTGGACAGGTTGCTCGCGTGGCAGTTGGACGTAAGCGCGTGCAAGGGGGAAGGTGGAGGGAGGGGGGGGGGGTGGAGTGGCGAGTACGGCGGAATGGGGTTAGGAGGGAGGTGGGAGTTAGTATCGAGTGACTCCCTTCTCCCATCCTCACCCCCTTGCGTGTACTCAGTCGGATCTGAGCATGCAGGGAAGGAGGCGTACGGGTTGAATCGGGCGAACTGGGTACAGTAAGGGGATGCGTAGCGTACGTTTGGATAGGAGCAGGCGGCAAGACAGAAAAGAAAGATCCGCTAGCAAAACTGCAAGCTAATTCGTGTTACAGCAACGAACTAGGAAGCTGTTCGGATTCTGAAATAGCTCCCCTATCTAAGCCAACCATTGTGATAGACTCTGTGCTATTGCAGGAGCTGCTCGCTTGGGAGCTGGACGTGAGCACGAGCAAAGTGGTGGTATGAATAGTGGCGGCGTAGTGTCCCTATGTTGCACCAGCTGCTCACGTGGCGGCTGCATACCACGTGCGGGAGTGGGCGCCAGTTAAATAGGGTCAGTAGGATACGATGTGGTGAGGGGGATACCAGATAAGAACGGCGATTTCGCGATTAGGAGCACATAGCGCTTGCGGCAGTAAGGCGTCTACGGTTGCGATAAGATGAGAAGAAAATGGATCGAAGGCAATCGAAACTGAACTGATTAATGTTGCATTATCAAATTGTGGTAGCGTTTTGATAATCATAACACCCTCCACAACATAGCACAACCATTTGGTGCACTCAGAACCGTTGCACGGGCAGCAGCTGAGCGTGACCTGTAGGGTGGCTGAGCGGGGAATAGCTGAGGTTAGTTTGGGGATAGGTGAGGTGAAGGGGTACCATATTGGAGCGACCGACGCTCGCCTGAACGGGAGCGCGCAGCAACTGCGGAGACCGAATCATTCTCGGCTGTCATAAGCTGGGGAGAAGAGTAATCGATTATCCATGACAAGATTTTGAACATTTCATTATGAAAGTGCCCTGCGATCATATGGCGTTTGTACATTCGTTTGATTAGAAGACAGCGGTTAGTCACGACTCTAAAGCAGTTGCATGAGCCCGGCGAAGCCGGGCTTACAAGAAGGAGGAGAGCTCGGCGTTAGCCGGGCGATCCGACTGGTCCATAATAAAGTAACAAGCTAAGATGTTGTTCTAATTATGATAATACCCTCACCCTATACAAGACAATCACTTAGTACACTAAGCTATAGCTAAAGCTGCTCGCGTGGCAGCTGGGCGTAAGCTAGCACATGGGTTGCTCCGTCTATTACGATTCGATCAAAGCACCGCGTTTGAGTAGCTAGGTGAAAGAAAGAATTTCGTTCTCATTATGAAGTGCGCCTTGGCAAAGCCAAGCCAGCTAATGTTAAGGAAGAGAGCTCGGCGTCAGCCGGGGGATCCGACTGGTTCACAAAAAATAAGCAAAAATAATGAACTATCAATGCATCCAATAAGACATAAAAATGAAAAATCCATGTGCTAGCATTTGGATATTAATCGCTCGCGGCCACCCAAAGTTGAGAGCTTATGGTTAGTTAGAACACGCCTTGTGCCGTAGCATTGTAACGAGCTATTTCACGATCCAAATAGTTCCAAGAAAAACACTAGGGAAGCGCCCTTCGCTGAACACCCATAATTTTTTCGAGAGTGAAGCTTTTGTAGAAGGGAAAGCAGGACTGGGGAGCACTAGACTGACACTTTTCAACTGAGGTAAAGCAATTTTCGAAAAACCTCTTTTCAAGAAACATTATCCGTTGTGATCACCTTGGGACATTCGGAGTCGTTTACAAGTTCTTCCGCTCTGAACAGCCGCAAGGCTATTCGCAGAACAAAAGCAGTGACGGAATTTCGAAGGTTTTATAATACTTCATAGCAAGACATTCTCTCTATCCCTGAGCCTACTATCCGAAGAAAAATCCCTATTGTGATGTGGACAGATCCATTTCGGCCGACATGAAAAACCTACCCTGCGACGTCATACCACTTCAGTTCGTCTAATGATTTTGGTATACTTCCGAAACGAATGCTTTCGCTGAGGGTATCAGTTCTAGATAGGGCTTATTCCGTGCAAGCAGGTATAGGGAGATCTGGAAGTGATTTTCATCTGTTTTTCTAATTCATGACATCGCTGTGGGCGGCTATCGTGTTTTCTGTCATCGCCCATTCCCCTTGGCCGCTGGCAGGTTGCTTCTTTCATGTGTGTGTCTCTTCAGGTGTTGTTCAAATGAATAAGTCTTCCATCACTGAAGCTTAACGACATTTGAGCATCCCTACATGCCCCACTTCAGGAAGGCTCTGTGCTTACGACCCCCTCGAGCTCGAATACGACCCCTTCGAGCTCGAATACGACCCCTTGTTGTGATTATCACAACGATAGCGTGCCCTGATGGAGGTGGAAGCTTACTGTTAGACAGCGTTCAGATTCCGCGACGGCAGAGCCTCGGTCTCGCGTTTAACGCGATCGACGCAGTCGAAAGCATGCGCATCGATCGTTTTTTTTTGAGTTTCGGTCCAGTTGTGTGAAACCCACTCGTCAAAACCAACTCGAAAACGCATAGAATACGATTCCAGTTGCGGAAAAAAAGGATGGAACGAGTTTGCATCGCTGCTTTTTGATAGTTTTGCCTCCAGTTTTTCAAAATGCACATGAAAGGTTCGTTTGCTTGAATGAATTACGCCTAGGAATGTTATTCTACAAAAGAGTGTGCGGATGAAACTTGCTTCAAAGACAGAATTTTGAAGAATATCACAATAGGGCTACTTCTACTCAGTACATCAGGATTCTTCGTGAGCTCTAAAGCAACTTCATGACCAAGATTTTACCATTTTACAAGGAGATCGTCATTGATGTGAAGAGAGGAGTCCGACAGGGCGACACCATCTCGCCCAAGCTCTTCAGCGCCTCTCTCGAGAACGTCATGCGTCAACTGGAATGGGAAGACATGGGAGTGAAGATCGACGGTCGGCAACTACACCATCTCCGCTTTGCTGACAACATCGTTTTGATAACGCCAAACATCGAGCAAGAGGAAAGAATGCTGGCTGGATTCGACTGCGCGTGTGGAAGGATCGGTCTACGG